ACGGCCAGCCAAAAGGGCTGTTTTCATAGTTCGGAATCGCAAAGCTGTAAAGGACACTCTGATACAGTTAGAGATATGGTCAAATTTGCAATATTTATACCAGGGAGCCACTTTAGATTTCAGAATCAGAGAACGATTGATCAGTGCATCAGCCTCGTATATCCAGGCCCTAAGATGTGAATTCTCAGCTGAGACCTTGAGAAGGTTGTCTGGAATAGTATATCTTTGAATGATAGTGTTAAGAAAGTTAGAACGGCTAGAGTCTTTACCAAAATGGAACTTGTCTGATTGATGGCTTATAGAATTGGAGCTCGGTGTGTTCTTTTTCCAGTGTTTTATAACCGCCAGATATTAAATAATGGGGGAAGGGGGGGAAGCGTCACCAACTTAATTCAGAGTGGGGCTATAGCTCAGCAGCAGACCACCTGCTTTGCACAAAGAAGGTCCCAGATTCAGTCCTTGGCACCTCCAGCTAAAAGGATCAGGCAGGAGGGTGAAAGACCCTGGGCAGTTGCTGCCAGTCACTGACACTGATAGACCCATCATCTGACTGTAGGGAGGCCAGCCTCCATGTGGGGCCTAGGGGTCTCCCAGAATTATAGCTCATCTCCTGACTACAGAGATCAGTTCCCTCAGAGAAAATGGATGCTTTGGAGGGTAGACTCTAAACCAATGTACCCCATTGAGGTCCCTGTCTTCCCCAGGCTCCATCCCCAAATCTCCAGGTGTTTCCCAACCTGGATCTGGCAGCACTACCCACCTTCCTGCTGGTGGCCAGTGGGCAACTCTATGCGACTCAGTTTAAGGCAGCTTCACGTGCTTGATTTCTGAATGCCAGGCTGTTCTTAACAAATGCATCAACAGAGAGAATGAGACTGGAGTATACTATTAATCTGTATTACCAGTTGCTGAATGTTTTTGGCTTGCTCTCATTGCATTCCATTTCTACATACCATTTTTTTTTGCATTAACACATCATGCATAATACTCATGCCTGATTTAAGATTTCTGCAATTCTAGTCCTATTACATTGCTTGTCTCCTCCCTCATCCTATCGACTGTACTGACTTGCATTATGTAATTCGCCTCGAGCCTCAGTAAGAAAGGCAAACTATATAGAACATAAATTAAAAATAAGATTAAAAAATGGTGCAGACGCAGATCCAGAGCACAGGTTAAGTAGACAGAACGGGAGCCGGTTAGCAGCAGCGCACTGAGACTGGAGTATACTATTAATCTGTATTACCAGTTGCTGAATGTTTTTGGCTTGCTCTCATTGCATTCCATTTCTACATACCATTTTTTTTGCATTAACACATCATGCCTGATTTAAGATTTCTGCAATTCTAGTCCTATTACATTGCTTGTCTCCTCCCTCATCCTATCGACTGTACTGACTTGCATTATGTAATTCGCCTCGAGCCTCAGTAAGAAAGGCAAACTATATAGAACATAAATTAAAAATAAGATTAAAAAATGGTGCAGACGCAGATCCAGAGCACAGGTTAAGTAGACAGAACGGGAGCCGGTTAGCAGCAGCGCACTCCCTGGGACGGACAGCTCTTTCCCCGAGCTCGCTGTGGCCTCCATAGGAAAGGCAACAATGCCAGAGAGCTATAGAGAAGTTTTAAGCACCACCAGCCCCCACAAGATCAACCCTTCAACACCCCCTTGCCAAGAAAAACAAGACGGGTCACTTACAGCCATGGGCGCAGCCATCTTGGACGAGTCACGTGATAATTCCACAAAGGGGGTGGGAAGCAGGCCGGCGTTCCAACTTTCCCCGCCCAATGTTCCAGAGCATGCGCAAATCCTCTTGGGCATGCTCAGCTGCAGCGACTGAAGCCCGAGCGGCTTTCCTTTCCCTTACTTGGAACCCGGAGTTAAAAATGCATGCCTACCGGAGAATCGTTCACGGGGTGTCTGTGTCTGTGTCTGTGTCTGTGTCTGTGTCTGTGTGTGTGTGTGTGTGTGTGTGTGTGTGTGTGAGAGAGAGAGAGAGAGAGAGAGAGAGAGAGAGAGAGAGAGAGAGAGAAATGGCGATAGATGCCCATGCAAAACTACGGCAGAGGGGGATTGAATGCTTAAAAATTATTCTGGAAACTCCATTAAGAATTACAGATCAAGGCGCAGGGGTTTTAATCGAGTCGCAGCAAAGACTCCTGTTTCTTTTTGCACATGCTCAAAAGCATTTCCCTTGCTTTTTTAAAGAAAACAACAACTCTGCTGCCTGTTAAAAGACGGTTTGCACCTGAAGAGACACTGTTGCCCTAGGTGTCTTTAAAAAAAAACCAACACTTGTGTATCACTCACAAAGGGAAAGCACTCTGTACGTGCTCACGGGCAAGAAGTCATGTCATGTAATTTTTGGCAGCTGCCCAAAACATGATATTATAAATCTGTATTCCTACTGACATATGCTCATTTCCTCTTTAGCTTGCTGCCTCATAGATCCCTTTTTCTTAAGAAAACCCCTACTGTATCAGACCAAGCATCCAGATATTGCAACATTCCAGTCCAGCCAACTTGTTCTGGAACAGGCCTCTGTCCAGGGAGGCTCTGTTTTAGTTGTCTTGTTTAATAGGTAAAGGTAAAGGTTTCCCTTGCTCGAAAGCCAGTCAAGTCCAACTCTAGGGTTGCGGTGCTCATCTCTGTTTCCAAGCCGAAGAGCCAGCGCTGTCCGAAGACGTTTCTGTGGTCA